CACTGTGCCCAGTGTGCCAGAAACAGCAGAGAGATAATGGCCACATAAACTGGAGGCTCTAATTAGACTGCACCTGAGCGCTCCACAGCGAGGGAAAGACAGGGAGGCATAGGAGAAAACATCCACTTAATAATGCATCTTTATGTATAGAGATGAAGTTCATGGGTCAGATGGCAGATGATAGAGAGGGGTCAAGTTAAGGAAAGGAGAGACTGACTGAAGGATGCCTGCAGTTAAACAACTATGACCATGTTCTTGCCAAAAGTGACAGCACTGCAAATTTTAATGCTATAATGCGGTTGCTTTACACTACCATGAGTCATTTTAATTCTAGCTTTTCCTCTAACTACATTACTCAAACTACCTCATTATTTTTCTTTTGCTGAAATCCAAAGTAAATTAAAAACACACCTTCAGCAATAAAAACCTCGTGAGAAACAATAAATAAATAAATACAACTAAAAAAAAAACTAGTCAATAAATTAAGAAGGATGATTCAATGAAAAAAATTTATTTCAAATTTTAGAAAAAAGAGCATCAGCTACCATCAGTATTTTACTAGCGTAACTTATTTGTTTGGACAGCTGTCCAAATCTAGAAATATTTTCACTTGCCTCATTTTGACTCATAACAGTTGTTGTGTTTTCCACAGACATCATTTGCATCCTGTCTGCTTTACACAGCACACATACTTGTGCTGTCTGACACCTTAGACATCTTTTTATAATGGCCAAAACATGGACATTCATTCTGAATGTAATGAGCAGCAGGACCACTGTTACAGGCACCTATCAACAACAGTGAGGACAAATTCTTCCCCCAGTCAGTGATGGATCCTGCGTCATTACTGGGTGCTACAGAATCTTTCGTACCTTGTTTTCCTGCCGGAGCCAGTCTCTCTCCTTACAGACAGGTGATTGTATCTATCTGATACATTGCCTTCATTTGAATTTGTGATGTCATCTGCACTCTGATTTCTTTTCTTCAGTGGTCAGAAGAGTGAAGCAACAGAAGTAATAGAAAACCATCTTAATTTGTGTATTTGTTAGGCTCACTGACGTACAGTAATGGGACCATCCGGATAGCCCTCCCAGTTAAATCCAATAAATGGCATCTGTTAGATATTACTCTGGTGCATGTAAAGGTCAAGCAAAGATATCATAGACATGAAGAAGACAATTTGTCCTGAAAAGAAAATGAATGTGCAATTCATACAACATTTGCTTCGTTTTGCTCAACACCACAAATATAAACCTCACTGGGGCACTAGAGGCAAAATCAAAGGATCATCAAAGTTGTATTATGAGCCAAACTGGAGGATTCTGCTCTTTAATGACTAACTTCTTTTTTAGTCAGTCATTATAATTGAAACAGAATTAGCACCAAACCTATAACCCTAAATTTGTGTGTAACAACAAGGACTCATTTGAAAATGGCCCCATTCTATACAGGTGCACTTTTCCAAACATCATCCACCCTTAACAAATACTTTTAAATGTACTGGAAACCCGTGCAATATTGAAGACACCACAACAGCTCTCCCCAATGACATCTGCTGAATAATGTCTTCAGAGCATCTTCCATCTTCCAGTCCTGCCTGCAGGGATTAAAACATTTTGTAGGACAAAATAATTTTAGGAAAGGCATGTACAGTACTCCTCATCTGCAGTATATATATGTACGTACATATATAGCATACAAAAATGCTTCCTGTGACAAATCCAATTTAGGCAACAGAATGGCTGAATATAACAAATTTTTATTCGATATGAGACCTCATGGGAATTGGCCAGCTTGTTTTCCCCCACAGATCCATTTCACTTGTCAGGTTGTTGAATCAGAGTTAACACTGCATCGTCCATTATGCTGCTCCATCTGCAGCTTTCGTCTTTGGGCTTTTAAAGCATCACATTTCCCTGTCACAGTTCGGTAGCAGCCTTCTCATTAGCTATAATGATGGCGAGTGTTGTGTGCAGCAGCCCAGCACCACAGTTGTGATTGGGCAAGCTCAGTCTGATGAATGTTGACAGAGAATGATATGTAGGTAATCAGGAAGCCGTTGTTTAGAGACAAGGTGGCTATTTCACTCAACAAGAGATTGTTAGGACAATAAAACTGTCCATTTATGGTTTATAACTGTCACAATTTGAAAGTTTGACTGTATGTGCCCACTGGTTTGAAAGTTACTTAAATTTCAAACAAATGAAATGTACTGTATGTTAATAACAAATTTTCTCTTAAAAATCTAAATTGTATGGCATATTGTCCACGATCTCCTTTGCTTCTTACCTCTCACCTGTGTCACATCCTTTCTTTTTACTCACCTGATCGCTCCTTTTTTCTCTTTGTATTTTGCCTCCTCTTGGACTTCTTGACCTGGACAGATCTACCTGCGTTTTCTCGACTATGAAATGGCCAATTCCAATGAATGCAAGCGCAACTTTGTAGCAGTGTATGATGGTGGCAGGTGTGACTTTTTGACATTTTTAACTTCTCATTTAAATAATTCACACAGAGGTTCAAAGTAGCCATAGATGTTCATCAATTTTTAAGCCCTTTATCTCATAATCATGGTGCATCTATTTATTTGTTTGTTTGTTTATTTTGCTTTTATGTGAACAAGACAATTATTTAAGTATGGCAAGAAAAATGCAGGAAAAATGTCTTTGTTTTTGACTAAGACACAGTTCATTTGTCACATAACTTGCTGTGTAACAGCCTGAGATTCACAGACCAAGACTGATTAACAGATTTTACTTATAGGAAACAGTTTTTACATAAGGACTACTATTATTCTGTCTTTCTGTTCCAAAAAATTGTCCTTATCAGTTAAGGGAATAGCTGGATATTTTGGGAAACACATTTATTTTATTTTTTGCTGACAGTTATATTAGAAATATTCAGCCAGCAAAGACCTCAGGCAGTCAGTGCACTTGGTTAATATATAGTCCATCACATAATCAAATGTTATTTTAGCACTTAATTTTTTGTTGTGATTAAAAATGTAATGTATTATTTACTGAGCTATGGAAATGCTGGTAGGCAGATTGTATTACCTTTTAACAAAGCAGGCTCATCGTTTCCCTGATTCCAGTCTTTATGCTAAGCTACCCTGCTACTATTACAAGTAAAACAGTGATATCAATAAGTGTGTTATTTGAAATATTGAAATATTCCTTAAATAACATAGCCAGATAATAAATTTAGGCAACTTTCTAGAAAAACAATAACTTCTTTTTGTCATAAGATGATGGGATATTAAAATAGTGATCAAATAATAATCGAATTATTTGATATGTTGAGATAAGATACAATAGAATCATTAAATGCAGTATATGTAAAAACAAATCAGCCCCCAATCAATCTGAATTGTTATCTTGAAATAACCAAATCTAAAGCTGCGATCACACAATAAATGACCCTTGATAATCATCTGTAGATTCTGATCTCATCCTGTCTCATCCCAGTTCGGTGGAGGACCTGAAAAGCAAGTTCTGTTCCACAGTGGCCAACGATATCATGCTGGTTTCCACGCTGGGAGTCATCCGTATGTGGGCAGATGAGCACAGCCGCAAAAGTCGCTTCCGCATCCTCTTCACAACTTACCAAGAACGTAAGGCACTACTTACATTGCAAATAACTACGCTAGCACTCACATACACAATTGTTTATCATAAAGATCTTTACTATAATAAGACCTGGGAAACCGATTAGCCTTGTTAAGAAGACCACTGTTCAGTGACAGCAATGTTGACACCAAAATAAAACAGGGCTAGTCTTTAGCAGTACTGTCAGGAGAATGGAGGTGCAATGACAACAAGCTATAGTATATTGGATGTTGTTCAATGGAAGGGGGCTTTCAAAGGTTTCCATTTAGTTTTATGAACAGCAAGCAGAAAACCAATCAACATTATTTGCATTATAAGTAATATTGCCTGTTTGGGATTGTAACTGTCTAAATATGACAGTATTGGTGGATTTGATCTCAGCTCTGCAGCATTACCACAGGTGGGCATTTGGGCTGGCTAATTCCCTTACTATGGAAAAGGTAAAGAGACAGAGATAACATACTGACAGAAAAAGTCTGGGACAAAGCAATATCAGGATGAGTTGAACACACACACAGTTTTCATTCCTTATGGTGACCTACATTGACTAACATTAATCTCTTGGAGACTTAATTTTACCCATAAGCATAACCACTACTTGCCTGACCCTAAATCTGACCCAAAAACTAGGGTACCTTAAACCAAGTTGTCACTCTACAATTCAGTGATTTACATGGTGGAGAATAACACCTGGTCCACACAAGGAAGACCGGGTCCCCACAGTGTTGGTGTGTAAACAGGTTTCAGTCCCCACAGTGTGAGTAATACCAGGTGCACACACACTCACACATACACAGCCTTTCTATTTTTCATTCACAGGCTTCACACTGAAGGAACTCATAGTTTGACAAGTTACACAGGGCATTCTTTGTATAGTGAGGTAAATGAAGCAACTCTCAGGCTCGTGAGTATACAGTATATCAGTGTCTGAATGCCTTTTAATGCCACAGATAAGCTGTTACACACTCTAAGACATGCATTTTGCACTATTGAACATTACAATTCATTTTTGGAGCTTGAACACAAACTTTCTCAAAGACAGCGGTGTGAGATAAAAATTTAAACGACGAGTGACTGAATTTATAAAAATCATGTTTACAAATCTAGTGCTTTTTAAAAAAAGGTGAAAAAGGTGCTTTCCTTTTTATTTTTGAGATGGGGTAAAACAAAAAAACAAAAAGCCGATACTTCCTTTCAGAATGCTCTATTAATGCCACCATGTGTCATTTTGAGATTATAGGTATTAAGAAGCCAAAATTAATACATGTACCTCAAAAGGTCATTTAATTGAGTTGAATTTTCTTTTTCTTCATGCTGTATGGTGGAGTGCTTTTATTGAATGTCACAAACTACACCCACACCAAGAAGAAATCACTGAACTCTGAGGGACAATCACTTGACAGACTTTGTGTATTTATAGCATGTCTATATCGATTTTATGTGTATAAGTTAGGGTAGTTTAGTGGCCACAGCAGTAGCAGCAGAGTTGTTTGTGCTGTGAAGTCAGTGTCCCTTTTGTGTGAGGGCTTTTCACCAAGCAGAGCCAGGATGTGCTGTTGCCATGGCAACGATCCCCAGCCAGACCTCAGCCTTTAGAGCAACATCCACCAAAGTTCAGCAGCTCTGCACCAGCAATGGGGATACACCTGTCCATTCGCTCTTAAAAGTGAATGCACAGATACATCACAGGCCGGAGATCAGATGAAGTAGATCAAGTGTTCCAGTCTACTGTACTTTTTTCTAGTGCTGATCAAGTTTTAGCAAGAATTCTGAAAAAGGCAAAACAGTATTTATTGTCCTTTGGTACAGCTGGAGACATGTAGCTTATTTCAGTATACATTGCCATTTGCTTTAAGATAAACAGGGTAAAACTGCAGTGTATATGCACTGTATAAAAAGTAACTACATTTACTCCTCTTTTAAGTATTTTAACAGTCAAAAACTATATTAAATTTTTGAATAAAATGTAATAACATGTAAAAGACACGTACACCTTTTTATTATTTATGTGTGTGATTTTACATGTGGTCACTTGTAAAAACTAACATTTTTTCTTTTTAATTTGAAATGGTCTGTTGAGGCACAAATAGGAGACAGTGATTAGATATCATTTGCACCATTATAGCTTCCTGATAAACTGTGTTTTAATGACTCAGTTCAATGAACCAGATCCCACCTGATTTATGTGATTAAGCTTAAAAAGCAATTTGCTACCCAAACACTATGAACATCCGAAGTATACAAATTCTCAGGATCAATAGCAAGCCTTAACAAAAAGATTTAAAGCAGCCCATTTAAGCCTGTATATAAAACATTCTCATCCCATCACTAACTGTATTCTAGTGAGAATGAATTTATATAGTTATGCTTTTAATATTCATTTTAACGCAAATGAAGCAAATGATTTTGTCAGCAGAATTTTCACTCTTAAGAGAAAGCAACTGTAATGATTGCAGTTTTTAGTACTGTACATATTAAGTGTTCCAGAACAAATTAAGACGTGGTTGAAAGCTCTGAACAAATGCTGGGAAGGTGACATTTAGTAAACACTACTTTGTCAAAATTTGGGTATGTGCTGCAGACATGGCCATAACAAGTGTTTAGAGAATAGTTTCAATGCATGTCACAAGTCACAAAACGAAAGTGTAAGGTGAGGTATTATTTAAACCAATGAATACAAAAACACAGCAGGAAGTTATCTGATTTCCCTCCCCAGATGAACGACACTCTGGAAGTATGTGTGCTCTGTTGCAGCTGCATAAGTCGATTCTGCTATAATCTACAATAAGTGTTCTCTATCTAAGAGAATTATCAAGGCTTTATATATTTGTTTACAGCTGCTGACTCCCAGTGGGACCAGGAGTTTTTAAAGAACCTTTCAGAGCTGCCGACTCCCAGCGAGCTGCTCCACTGGGGAGAGAAATATTCTCATCCACCAACATCCGTCTTACATCTAACTGTATTGTCCATGCTGTGTTCACATATGCTGATCAAGCTGCACTTTCAGGCTCAAACACATGCAGTCCTGTGCAGAACTACACTGAGAGATTACTAATGTCGAGTGTAGGAAAGTGAAACTTATCTTTACCAACAAGCAAATGCAGTCTTAGATGATAAATGTGCTTATATGACATCTGGGCTGTCAGCATTGTTTTGCATCATCAGCAGATACCCGTCTTAGGAGCTGCAGATGGAAAATTGCTTTGACATTATTTCTTGGTTCTTGCCAAGCTTCTTTATGCATGAAAGCATTTAAGACACACACAGTATGCTAAGGTCTGTTAACATATGGATCTTTGCTACAACTTAGAGCTTTTCTATGCAACTGTAATCATGGTTGCTTTGGGATTAAGATACTGTGGGCATATTGGACTGTAACACTCTACAGCAACATGTATTAAGAGAATAAACACCCATGGATGGGTCTTGCAATATCAAGGACTTGAAGTAGGTCGTTTTAGTGGGATTTAGTTATTAGTTAGCGGTAATCCAGCACGGAACCAATCCAGTGAATGTACTGACAAAAACCATCGTCTTTTCTTACCTTTTCACTTAATAAAGCATTATTTAAGGCAACCCTTTTATATTATGGCCAAACAATTTCCACAAGCTTTATTGATATTATAGGTCAAAAACAGGAATCAGTAGTGCATAACCAGTAACTGACAGTTTAGTAAATTAAGATCAACACAAAATATATAGAATATTTATTGAAGTTAACAACTGATATTGACAATTACACCCAACTGCTGTAATTCATCTGGATATGTGTTAGACCAAGATATGAGATTGGTAGAATCCCCCAAAATGAATAAAGGGCATTCTTACCAGGATGAAGGTGGTTTAATACTAAGAGAACATAACAAAATAATGAGACATCACTAAGGAGAATGCAGTAAATACAATTAGCAGTAAAATCAAATGGCTTGGTGAGTTTAGCCTGCAATTAAATATAAGAAGCCATAGATGGCTAAAAGGCTGACAATATGAAATAGAGTTCTGTGTATAAAAACCCACCAGCAGATATATGCAGGAGTTAATGCATGGGACGCATGGCTTCAGGGATTGTTAAGCAGTGAGAACGGCATGGGTGCTGGGTCGAATGTATGTGGAATAAGATGAAAATGACCAGCAGTCTGGTTGTTGAAGAGAGGAATCAGAAACTCCCTGCATTGCTCTAGACATAGCAGCACCAATCCTGAGTGCTGCTTAGGGTAAAGGTCACATTTAAGAAGCACTTGCCTGAGGTTATGAATAAATCAGTTTATACATAAGATTATGGGGTGTAAGAGAGAGGGGAGACTGTGGGCCAGTTGATTTTGCGGCCTAGGGATTTTAGCATGAAACATGTATGGGGAAGATATTCTGAGGAACGGACAATTTCATCATAAAATAAATACATACCATTCCATAGATCAAGGAGGGTGGGACCTGAATTTAAAATCCGAATGGCATTTTCTATCTAGCGTGACTGTATTGAACAGGTTGGGAACTGAGAAAGTGAGTTCAAGTAGACAAGAGATGAAGGAGTGGCTTTGGAGAGTTATGTGCATTGGGAAGTTTAAGTGATTGAGCAAGGACAACGAAGTGCAGCTTCCCTAAAGGAAGGGACCCTCTCATCTTGTTACTGCCAATAGCCCCAGAAACTCCATACTAGTTGCTGGGCCTGTTTTTTTCTTCTCTTTCTCTCTCTCTCTTGACAGGGCAATACTTAAATGATGGAATGTGCATTTTAGTTCAAAGAGTGATGAACCAAATTTAATGTGGGGGGTGTCAGTGAGAAAGAAGTCATTGAGCAGGTAATGGCAGTTTAAAAATATTTAGCAGGATCTAGCTAAGCCTTAGAAGCCAGAATAAAAATGCCCAGGCTCATTAATGTGTTAACCTAATTGCAAAATAACTTTTTAAATTCCACTTATTGTCATGTCAGTTATATTGGTTTTAAAAAGCCAGGCCAGGCACCTGCTAGCTTTATTAGTTTAAAGGCACTGTCAACAGATGCATAGTAAAGAGAAAATAGATTAAATGGAATCAGCCTGGTGATGCATGGAATTTGACTTGAATAAGCAAATAAACTGAAAATCTTATTTTTTTCTAGAAAATATGTGCGTCTTATTTCAGATTACATAACAAATTAGAACCAAATATGCACCAAGCTTTTGTTTGGCATAGACAGGGAACAAAACCTCCTAGTAAATCCCCAATACAACCAGAAAGCAGGTGAGGATTATAAGATACTGTCAGTTTGTAGCAATTTGTGAGTTATTTGTTGCACAAAAGACCAGTTAAATTAATGTCTTTACCTTGCATAATTTTATAGGGTATAGGGAGTGAATGCTGGCTATATGGAGGATGAGGGGTCTTGCTAACAAAGGGGTGACAGAGGCCAGACTATGCTGAGGAACGCCAGTTGAGCATAAGGAATGGGCATGATGCTAGAGGTGGAGTTGGCATTCTCCAGGGCTTGCAAACAGACATGGATGATGTGGGGTGAGGCCATAACTGCCTGGAGAGAGTGTGTCATGTCAGAGTTACTGGCAAATGGCCTTGGAGAATTGGCAGCGCTAATTGCTCACTGCTTATACAGTGTGCTACAGCAGAAGATGATTTTTTTTTTGTCCTTGTGCAATCCCAAGTAGGCTTAGGGCTTACAGAGGTTGCTGCTTTGGCCATATCCTGGAGCTGGGATGCATCCAGACTGGAGCTGGATTTATGCTCCTAGCTGCCAGCTGCTGGAGTGTGGTGGGTTCACCATGTAGTTGATAAAAAGCAATGCAGACGCTGTGTCTTTGGCACTCACTGGTGAAGAATCCTAAACATCATCACTAGGATCTACAATTAATATCTCTCCTGCATTTTTAATAATTGAACATGTCGAAGATGAGCAGTAGCAAACTGAAAATTAATGATCTCATCATCACAAATTTGCACAACCAAGCAAACTGAAAATTAATGATCTCATCACAAATTTGCACAACCTTAGGATTGAAAGAGAGAATGATAGAAACACAGTGACCTTTAAAGAATGGTCACTGAAACCTGACTGGTTTGAAGAACATGAACTGTCAGAGATGCATGAGAAGGATTTTGAGTATGGGAATAAAGACACATCATTGTCATCTTTTAGAAATAGTTTATGAAATAAATGTATCTCTTAATGGCTATTTGAAGTTTAAAAATTCATGATAATCATGTGTTGTCTCCAGCACATCACTGAGGAAACCTCTTTGCTCTTGGAGCCCCCATCTGCAGACATCCAGACTATTTTCATTAGCTACTCAAGTTACTGTAAGTTATGCTTGCAGCAGTGGCTGTGAACATTTACTTTATCTGTGGCCAAAATGGCACTTTTATTACAGTATGTCTTAAAATTTACTTAGCAGTGTGGATTGCGGGCTTTATAACATCTGGTATTGCCCTGCAATGTGTGAAGGAGATGAGAACGTTCAACAAATTCAGAAGAGAAGGACTGTGCTCCACCTGGTGGTTATTAATAGAAAGGACTGCCACAAGTTTGGCATACACATTATAAAAGAGAAGGAGAAACAGAGGTAGGGGGAGAAAATGAAAAGAGGAATATCAGAACACACAGAGGGCCTATGTGAGTCGGGAAATCCTGGCAAAGGCCCACACAGGATGGGATAGAGAGAGATAGAGATAAGTCACTCTAATTTGATGTGTTATTATTCACTTGGGATGATTGCTGGGATGAAAACAGTCATACATCACAGTAGTAACACTGTCAAATAGTTTCCAGCTCTGCCATACCACTGGCAAGCTGCTATAGTACAGCGTGCCAGTGTTGTGTGTGAGTGGGGGGAGAGTAAGAGATAAAGGAAGAGAATGAGAGACAGAGGGAAGAACATTTCCTTTACTGCAACAGTCAAAGAAAGCCATCCATTATGTTCAGTAACAAAATAAATAACTGTTGGGGTTTAAAATACAAATGTTTCCCCCTCCACATTATTCCCCACAAGGCAAATGGTACTGGGCATGGTTGATTCTTGTGCAATGGTAGGACATAACTAGATACATTAACTTAAGTATAACATAAAAAGCAATGTCCAGGTACTTCCACAGCATATTTCTATTCTGTGCTGCTGTTCTTTTTAGTTACATCCTCACTTCATTTCAGAAGGGGATTGTTTGGGGTTTGTTATAGGTGCATCTCTCAACACACACATACAGTACACACACTTTCCAGGAAATTCAGTGTTATCCACAAGTTATCCACTTTTATTATATTAACTTCTCAGAGTGATAACTGTGTAGTCTTTCTTTTTCCAGCTCCATGTGATGCAGATGCCTTCTTCTGTCACAGTAACATGTGCATAAACAACACGCTTGTGTGTAATGGCATGCAGAACTGTGTCTACCCCTGGGATGAGAACCAATGCAAAGGTGAGATGTTACATTTTTCTGAACCAATGCAAAGGTGAGATGTTACATAAATCCTTAATCTTTTGACCCCTTGGCCCCTCATGAAAGAATCTTTGAAGGTTCAAAAAGAAAGTTCAGCACCTTGGAGAGAGACACAAGGACACAACTGTTTGAATGTTTCAGTACCATGGAGAGCAACAAACAATGAGCCATGGGTTCTGTCCAAAATCACTTTCTGCTTACTATATAGTTCACTGTGGGTACATCCCAATTCCCTTATTAGCTCGTTCCTTGCTCCACAGACCTCACTTGACCCAGAGGTTGCTTTTGTCCTCCATTCCATTTCTGTTATGAGGAAGGAGGGCTGAGAAACAAGGAGGGGTTTCTGAGGAACCATGAACAAGGGTCACATCACCACAGTTTTATACTGAAGTGCACAGACATCCGTGTTAAGACTGTAAAGTGTGTATTTTATTTATTTTCAGATTCACTATCTAGATGAACATTGTGACTCTGTGTTAACTGTAGATCTGACTGACAAAAGAACCATGGACAACTTTCTACACTCATTAGAAAGATGTTTTTTTTTTTAAGTTTGAAGTCTGAAGTCTTGAATAATCTTTTCTATTCAGTCATGTGGGGCTGAAAACCCCTATGTGTCAGACTAGAAATATAGCTTGATGTGATATAACAAAATTTACACCTTGTCAAAAACATTTTGGGCTAATAAACCATTTCTACAAAACACTGTAAAACTTTCAAATCATTACCTGGATCAATAAATGCAGAAGGAAATAATTACTACATAAAAATATACACAGCTGTTATTAATGGTACAACTTTAGGCACCTATATTCTCTGAGCAATGGAGAACAAATGTTCACAATGTGTGGTCTGACTGATCCGAGCTCAGTATAAACAGAGAATGCAGCTAAATAACTGAATAATAAATGTACAGATGTTTGAACAGTTTACACAACAAAGCTAACTGGCAGCCAATCCGGCAGAGCCACCATCATCAGGAGCAGATGTTGCATCAGAGGAAATGATGTCTCATTTCTCAAAAAACATATTTCCTTGTTTCCTCTCTCCTTGCATCTCTCCTCATACCATATCTTCAATGGGAAGGACTGAGGCACAAGGAAAAGACACAAGTGAGGGCAACATGGATGCAATTAAGGGAACTGATATGTATCCTAGCTACCTCCATCCACTGTTTTATTTAAGTTTTCATAATTCATAATACTTTGAGTGTGAAATATGAACTCTATGGTCAACTCAAAACTTCTCATGTTTCAATGGCAAATATACTACTTTCTGCTAATGTAGAAAATGTATTTGCAGGTGTAGATGTGGCAATGACCAGTGTGTGACTGTATAATGGTGATTTGAAAGTGTCAGGAATCTTGATTATTTTTCAGTATAGCTTAAACTGCTGAATGTCTACTGAAGTATACAGGGAGTTGTGAATGACTGAAGGAAGGAGCGAGGGATGTGATGTATATCCATCCAACACTCAGGATTTGACTATATTTGACTCTGATGACAGTTAGTATGTTGTTTAGTGCCTGTTTTTGGGTTGAACATTTGAGTGTTAAACTCTCTGTAAAATAATACCTAAAAATATGTTTATACTTTCATTGTATTTTGTCACAAGTATTTAAATTTTTTCTTTTTAATTCACTAAATAAATAATATTATATACAGCCCCAACTGATCCAGATCTTGGTCCATGATGATGCCCAAAGACTTGTCCTGCTTTATTGCTTTTTCTTTGTTGTTGTTTCAGTGCATGAAGGCAAGCAAGGTCTTGTGTATTCACTGACTTTGTGAAACTACTAGAAAAGCCATTGGATCTATATATTGATCCCCAGTGTTACAGCACTGGCAGCGCAATTATTTATTTACAGTCTGACCTGAGATTTCTTTATTGCAGCATCTTTGTATGTCATATCATCCCAATAATTACCTGATATGTGGGGATAAGAAGGTTTTTTTACTGCATTATACTGCAAATTCAACTTTGCCTTAACCTTTAATGACCCATCACTATATTTCAAAAACATAATATTAAATCTATACAGCAGCTCCCTTGAGCCCTCCTGCAGTGAAACACCCACTTGAATTAATGCAGTGTGTGTTTGGCATTACACTCTAGTGCTTGGCCTTGTAAAATGTGCTCCAGTTTGTTCTTCATTACACACACACAGTTTCTCACCAGGAAAAATTTGTCCTCAATCTCTATTTCTTCTTTCCTTTATTATTTCTTTTTTGTTTGCTTTTGTTGTTGTTTGCAGTAAACCTTCGGCCTACTGTTACCGCACCCTGTGTGTTCTGTATCTGTTCTGCAGTTCTCTGAGGTTTTTCAGCAGAGCCAGTGACAAATTGCATCAATTAAGTAAACCCTGCATGGGCTATTCCTTACTCAGACTAAGATACTGTATCTTTCAACCCTTGGCAACAAGAGGCAGTTTTGCCTGTTACTCTATCTTCTGCCTTCACTCTGCTCTAGTAATGCATTAAGCCACTGCAGTGCCCACATTTGTCCTCTTTAGTGGAAAAATATCAAGTTTTATTCCTTTTTTTTTAAATGCTCCTGTATGTAACTGTTTACTGTCACTAAAGCTCAGTGTGCTGCACTAAAAGTTCATCCAGCAGTTAAATGTTACAGATTCCCACACATTGGCTCTCTACACACTCTTAGTCTGTGGTTTCTGTTGTGATAAATAATTATATCCATGAACGAATGTGACCTTTTTGTTTGATATATCACAAAAGTAATGGTTTTTATCTTGTACATTATTGGGTCCATTTGTTATGAGATGCTATAACTTTACATGTAAACTATGGTTTAGTTACTGCTGCTATGCCTGTCAGGCTTTTCATTTTGGCATGACAGGACAATAAAATGAGAGTATAACTCTCAAAACAGCAACACTGTTGTGTTGTGAGTATAACTCAAAGCAGCTTTTACTTGAGAGTTAGTGGACAGAACATTGACAGTGAGGATGGAGGTTTTGTTTCTCTCAGCAAGCAGCATGAGTTCACTCGAATGAATTCATGCATGCTGACACATACGATGCCTGTGTCACAATACTGTCCAGACCTTTTGCTGTCTCACAAAGTACCAAAATTCCTTTTTATTTTATTTTATTTATTTATTTATTTATTTTTGTCATGCGGCCCATATCACCACAATCTCCTGGACCAGTGGCATCAATGATGACTTCCTCCTTTCAGCTTGGTGGGCAAGATTGATATCTCTGTTCACTACAGGACCAAGGCTCTCCTGTCATTTACCTTCCATGTGTCCCACCATGGAGCTAAGCTTATGGGTGTAGACTTTTTCAGTGACTGTTACAAGTCTGACTGGCAAGTTTCACAGTTATCTAAAGCCAGTTTCCAGTGTTATCTAAACTAGACCTTCGTCAGGACTTACTGCAGGTTGTATTGCACCCCAGCAGCCTCAACCTTATAGCTTTTTCGAACCTCACAGGGTTTTTTTTGTTGAGTTCCTTTAGGTCTCAGCTCTGCTTCCAGCTGCTTCCAGAAAATCATGGCATCCCTGGAGTTGTCATCTACCTGGATGACACTGGCCAATGCCCCAGCACCCTCCCTAGATGATGAATGATTGATCTGGATACTCAGTGCCACAATTTCACATTGCACTGAAATGCATCTTCTCTGTGCCTGCCACTGACTTTTGTAACCACAGACAGTCTCACCCTACATCACTATAATGTGATTTCTGGGCAGCACCTCCCTGATTCATCTTGCCCAGCCCAACTTGCCTCACTCCTGGGCATGACAACCTATCACCTACGTCAACAAGCCCTCACAGGTTTGATGATGTCCTCAAAGTTGGGACTTACAGCAAACCATTGTAGATTTACTGCTGTTCAGGGAGACTGCAGTAATACAGCTTCTCCCCACATTCACCCTAGATATTCTCTCCAAAGCCACAGGACTTAAGTCTAGATTCAACTAAGTTATGATGCCCCTTGCCCCATTCAAAGTCACAGTTTCCCTCCAGGACCTCCAGCTCACCTTTGAGGAAGACCCCATACTCTCCCATTTGTGAAGTTCATATGGTATGAGTGACCCTCGGCAGCCTCGACTGAGCTAGGTCAAGTAAGACCTATGCTGCTGTAATGATATCTATGTGACCCAGGGATGTTGTACAATTGTTATCAGCATCTTGCCAGCACATAACCTATCCATGACTTATGAAGGTCACCTGGGCATTGCAGAATTGCAGGGGACTTCTGTAGAGGCCTGGTATCGATGGGGATGTGGGGTGAGGCCATGTAGGGATACATGTAGACTATAGTTAAAAGACTGCATTGCATGTCTAATCAGTGGGAAGACTAGTCCACCAGCTCCACCTCCAATGGAACCATTCCATTACAGGGCTGGCCAGCACCTGGGAGCACATCCATTTGGATATCTAGGGAACCTCCATGGGATGCCACAGCATCAGCACTTCTTTATGGCTGTACACAATCTCCACTCAAAGTGGCCAGAGGTGGTCACCATTAGTTTAGTCACAGCCCATGTGGTTACCTATTTCCTTGCCTTGGTGGGGGATTCTCAATATCATCACCACACATAATAGCCTGCAGTTTGCCTCTTCTCAGTTTGCAAGAAAAAGGGATTAACTATGTTTGCATGGCTTTCTACCACCTAGAGGCAAACAGGGTGTAATGGATTAACAAACCTCTAAAGAATGTTTTAAGAGCACACCTGATAGTCTTTCTCTCTGGTTGGCTCTGGAAGGTGGCATCACCCTCCATCATAGACTCTGGGGTCACTGTGGACTTGGACTCCATGGTCAGGGACCCATACCTTTCTGTGGAGCAGCCTCCACCGTAGCCAGACCTGAAGCCTGGTCAGCCTGAGTCTGGGTTAGACCAAGTAATCTCAAAGAATACTGACTGACTACTGTTCCTGATTTTTGAATTCCATTAAAGTTAGAGCATAGCCTTTCACCTATCAAAATAAGCCACATGGCAATGCTGGTAACTGGCAGTGTATCGAGATTACCTGTACTGGGTTCACGTTCAATATACATGTATATTATTGCTGTAATCTTGCTGTACATGTGTATTGTTACTGTATGGGCTACATTAGTTGCAGCTTTGTGCACAGCAGCTTGCAGCATTGTACTGGAAAGGAGGTTGTTGTGTTGCAGTCAAAGTTGTATGCACAGGACAATAAAGTAATGTGTTCAAAAGGAGTCATTACCTGTGAGTTATGGGACATAACGTTGTGTACACCACTTAAACATGCAGAGAAATCTAGAGCCTGACAGGCCTGGCATGCCTAGTTACCACTGTTAACCTTTTACTTCCTAATGGTCAATTAACTGCAAACACAAATCACAGGTTTATAGCACACTTTCAAATGTTTTTTTGTTTTCCAGTAGTGACATTTTTCAAGACATCTTAAATGGCTGTGTTGTTTATATTCTCATAAACATCCCTTTTTTGTTTTGCTGTCTCTCTACCATTGCACAGAGAAGAGAAAAGCCAACATTCTGGACAACCTGAACAACACAAATGGAACTATAATTGGTGTCACCTGCTGCATCGTTTTCATCCTCCTCATCATCTCTGTTATCGTTCAGATCAAACAGCCACGCAAAAAATACATCCTGCAGCGTGAGGACCTTGACCCCACCATATTCCAGGAGGTCTTTGAGCCACCTCACTATGAGCTGTGTACTTTACGGAGCACTACCACAGCCACAGCAGCCTCAGCAGACTTGGTAGACCTGGCAGAAGACTTTGAAACCTACCATGCCCTTCGCCGTGCCTCCTCACGCTGTGTCCATGATCACCACTGTGGCTCTTTGTGCAATCCAGGCTCTGCTCACATATCCCAGCTGTCACTCAGTGGACGAGGAAGCCGTGGAAACTTGAGTGTTCATGACACAGCAGATGCCACTCTGCTCACAGACTTTCCACAGCCACCAATGGCAGTGCGGCCCTTGCTGCCAGCCACAGGGAACCGCAGGAGCATCTTGGTGATGAAGCACAGCTATTCCCAAGAGGCAGCAGACAATGGACGTGACCTGGACGAAGACCTGGAGGAAGTTCCCACCACCAGCCATCGACTTTCACACCACGAAAAGGCAGTACAGCGGTCAGTATCCATAGATTTCTGATGAGGGAACAACAGCCCTAGAGTTAAATATGGGGATGTTTGAAATGTGCGTGGGTACTTACATTTTTGCTTCCCTCTTTTTTTTTTACATTTTTTCTTAGCTTTGCTCTTCCTCTCTCTTTTACATTTTTTTCATTGTGAAAAGCTTCTTTTTGCAATGATCCTTGTTCTTTCTCTCCTTTATATCATTAAAAGCATTTTAAATTATACACAAATGGCTAGGTTATAAGGGCCCCCCACTCTTTTCTCAAATGGTGATTTATAACTTACTCTCTAAACTCCACTGTACTACTCTGTTTGTCAGAAACCTTTAATCAAATACACATCTTAGATGTTAATTCTGTCATCAGTCCAGTTTCACTGTCAACACAAGGGCTTGAATTAGTGCCTGATATTCACAGAGATAATACATTTTATTAACATTGACATGTATGTATAAAATATGCATTTGTATTCCCAACTGTGATACTGAAAACATGATATATTCTATATATCCGAACATTTTGGCATGAAGGACATTTTCTATTTAAAAAAAACATATTTGCTGTGTTCTTGCACATTGACTGCTTAAAAGTAAATTTATACATTTTCAAAAACACTCTGTGAAGTACTTAGAGTACACATTCTCCTGCATGCATTTCTATATGCTCTGTATTCTTGACTGTGTATTAATTGTGTAAAAACATGCATGCAGGGCTCCCAGAGAGTAGCAAAGCACTAATGATGTTTGCAGCTGTTATATAGAATATTATGCATTCTGACCTCTCTATGCAAAATGAGTTTGATATTAAATGAAAGAGCCATGACATTTCAGGTTCTGCCTCATTGGCTCTTTGAGCAAACATGAATCAGAGTACAACACAACTAGGGTCTAAGAGACAATCTCAAGGTAAGCACCCTTATCCAAAAATCAACATCTTTATATGTTACTGTGTAGACATTATTTGCTCTGTTGGTATATACTTTTATCTAAGCTGTTTTTCCTTTTCTTAGATTTTTTGCATTTATATTTAATTTCAGTTTTGTTGTTGTTTTAATGTTTTAATTGTTCATTTTCACCAAGATAATTTTCTTGCTTGCAGCCATCTTGTCCTCCTAGTGAGTTTGTCATTGTGATGCTTAATTTTACTGTATGTCCTCTTTTCCAGAAGACATACATTGTATCGTGAACATTAATTAGCATGGACTTTTAAAATCATCTTAAGTTGTCATTCAGTTAAAATGTTCAGTAAATATGTCTAACCTCTTCACTTCTACTCCCAGTAGGCCTATGGCAAATAATTTATATCAGTAATGTACAGTATCAGTAAAACAATGTGCCAGACATTTTCCTTAAGTTACATAAGCTAGATTTTTTTGCCCACGGTAAAGAAAGCACAATGAGATCATTTAATCTTTTTGTAATTTACAAATATTTTTCTGACCACACACTTGCACAGAATTCTTTTGTAGTTTTGCATGATATATGTAGCATTTGATTTTGTGTTTGGTTAATTGTGAAGCATAGTATTTATGCCTGTGTGTAACATTTCACGTGTATGCTTCATGATTGTGCTTTCAAGAGGTTGCTTTAAGTAATATATCAAATTATTTGGCATTTTTTTAGTGATCATTATAAAGTTACATTTGTTCAGAAAACCTATAAAAGGTCTCATTTTCAGCTTGATATTCACATCATGAGACAGTAACATGAAGTGCTACCCACTGCTTTGTCTTTTAGTGTGAAAAATGTGTTGTCGTGTTGTGTGTGCGTGCTTCTTCATTATGTTGCATTGTCTCCATCATGTAGACTTCTTGAGAGTAGTGCAATCCTGGATCAGTACGACCGGGCATCACTGACATATGAAAAAGCGGAACGGAGATTTACACCAGCATGATGCTGATGATGATCAGGATGAGGATGATGATGAAGGGACACTTTAATGAAAGGATACTGAATTCATGTGTAAAGATGGACACAAAGGACTAGATGAAAATACTTCAGCTGTAATGTGAAGTGGGAAGTTTTCAAAATTAACCAGTTTTGTGCTTAACATAATGTAGTCAGTCCAGATTTTTTGTCTCAATGAAAAGGTATCGACCTTTATAAGGAACATGATTATTGATTACCGATTATTGGTCAGAAACATACATGATATTGTTGAGGATTATTCAGAGGTATCAGCATTATTGTGATCAAATTCAATTTATTTTAAAGCATGTATGTATTTTGAAATGGTTATGATTTTTATAGCAAATTATAAATACTTGCAGTTTGTCAAATTTAGGAAGATTTGTGTTATTGGTTGAAATTGGAATTAATTTCAGTTAATTACTAACCTAATTAAATATTGTTAGAATAAGCTGAAACAGGTATAACAATTTAAGGCCCAATTGTATAGCTTGTGCATGATTTCTTTTTATCCATTAAAACATTAACATACTATCATTCAAATATGATAAGCACACCATCTACTAATATGTGACTCATAAGGGCATAAAAACTGGTTAAGGAGCATCATAAAATTATTAAAGTGCTTTGCATGAAGTTGTATAGCTAAGGAAAATTGTACAAATAATTTTTCCTTAAACTCGTATTCCCTTTTAAATATGTTGACTAACCTTTTTGATAAGTTGTTTTATTTTGACAAAACCTTTTTGGCAAACATAATTACTTCAGGTCTGTTCATCTTCAGACTGTCTTCTATAGGAGCTTAACATCTTTGTATTAAAACAAACTTTTATACTATGGCATATTGAAACATTTTTTTATAGTTACTCAAATTATCTTTCAGGGCTGATTTCAATGATACTTTGTAAAAATATATAACAATAATACTTTGTTTTTTTTCTTTGTTTTACTGGCTTTTGGTATCTAGTTCTTCTGTTCATCTGTTTTAGATTTTGGTCTATTTGTTGTGACTGATTTGCTTTAGAGAATGACAGACAAGTTAACTGACTGTATGTGCTTGTCCTTTAGGCTCAAAAAAACATGGAAAAGTTCAGCTCAGAGGGACATAAACATGCAGTTCACACATACACTTATGTATATGTCACTTTTTTTGTGTTCAGTTACTGTCCTATTTTCTTCTAACTGTGTCAATGTTATGGCATCTTCCACTATGTGTACATTATTTTCTGTATTCAGTGTCATTCATACATAATTTACATCCATGCTTTCACTCTCTTTTCCTTCCATCCACACAGACTCATTCCTGCAGATAATGAATAAAATTTTCTTTTCATTGTTGTTGTGTGTTGCTTCTCTGCCATAGATATTAAAATGTTCGAAACAGCACACACATACAGACATTTACACCTTTCACTCTGCCTTTTTGTCTCTGAAACACCCACACAACCACAAACCTATCTGCCAGTATATAGATAGAGGAAGACATAGCAGTAATTTAACAAGTCTGAACCAATTCAACTACAAGCAGCCTAGGCACCATGATGAGAAAAGTGTAGGGCCCAGGACAGAATTAAAGTAATAGTGTTTTCATTTCTCTGCAGATACATCAGACAGGTGCATCATTCCTCTGCAACTTGCCAAGTTTGACTGCGTTTGGAGCTAAGGTTTCTCTCCCTTGTACCCCTTGAGTGAACTGTTGCCCTGAGCAACTTTACCAGTGTGAAGTGTTGTGATGAGAAAATTAAAACAAGGTTTGTAGTGTATGCACCAAGTTTTTCTCCTTTGCTTTGGACTGCAGAGGTGTTTCACTGGCTAGAACTGATGAGCCATGGAACACTGATCATTTCAGATCTAGGCCTGAAAGTGTTTTTTAGAAATAGAGTACCTTTAATGTAAAGATGGAGAAAAAACAAAATCAGGTTTTAAAAAATCATTTTCCTGTAATCATCAAAGTATGAAACTGTATATTTCAGCTGCTGAATTTGATGTCATGTCTTTACATTAGAGATTTGGGGTGCCCCGTTGAGAAGACAGGGATGTATGAAATAATGTGATGTTAAACTTCATAAATGGGTGCAAACATGATTTTACTGACCTTTACTTTTACCCAGTATTAGTTACTTTTCTGTAATTTCTTTGACAAACGTCATCGCATTGTGGTGCTTTAAATACATTTGCATATTGATTTGAAAACACCAAGAAAATGCTGGACAGAATGTTTTCAATAAACTGATGTTTACTGATTATATTGTGATCATTTATTTTGCCTGTTTCATCTTAGTTCCTAATCTATCGGTTTTAGGACTGTAGCTGCCACTGAAGATACAGAGGCCATTCCCTCATATTATTTTTCTGAAGATTAGTAGGTGTGAGTTCATTTGAAAGGATTTCAACAATTCAACAACAAACTGGGGTATATTTTATATGTTGATTCCAATTTACAATAAATATTACTGAACATTTAACAACCGAACCTCTGAATCCATTGTATGCTACATGCCCAGCACAACAGGAAAAGTTAACAAGCTCCTGAACACAGTGGATCAGAGCCAGATGATTCTGTCCAGAGTCGGTGGAAACCACAAAAGAGCAAAGAAAGTGGACTAAATTCATTGAGAAACACATACATGACATGAAATGAATGCTCTTCTTCTTCTTCTTCTTTCAGCTGTTCCTGTTAGGGGTCGCCACAGCGAATCATCTGATTCCACCTAACTCTATCCTCGGCATCCTCTACTCTCACCCCAATTAACTTCGTGTCCTCTTTTAGCACATCCATATATCTCTTCTTTGGTCTTCCACTTGACCTCTTGCCTGGCAGCTCCATCTCCAACATCCTTCTACCAATATAACCACTATCCCTCCTCTGCGCACATGAAATGAATACTAATGTGATATAGTTTCATGTCAGATGAAAATGTGCGGTATGTGTTGTGTTCAGTTTGTTTCAACTGCCTCCAAGTGGCCAAAAAAACTCTATTATGGCAGGCTTAAACAATTTAAAGCAGGGGTGGAAAGTAACTAAGCACTTTTACTTAAGTACATTTTGAGGTATCTGTGCCTTGAGTATTTTCATTTTCTGCTAGTTCGTACTTTAACTTAACTAGATTTTAGAGGCAAATATTGCAACATTATATGTGATGAACACAAAACAATAATACATAAGCAGTTATAATCCAATAATATAATATGCCATTTTGCATAAAGAGTGCTTTTACTTTGGGCATTTTAAGTATATTTTAATGCTAATACTTGTGTATTTTTCTTATGAAACACTTTGAAAGCAGAACTTTTAGTTGTACTTTCACACTGCAATAGGCATATTGCTACTTTTACACTGTATATAAATAATCTGAGTACTTCTACTCACACAGTGATTTAGTTTTTGAATTTGGTGTCTGAGCAAAATCGTCTAAGAGGCAAAAAACTACTTTTTAAGGAAAACATCATTTTGTCTTTTTTTATTTAAAGCCTGTGTTTAGTGTTAACATTCAACTTTTCACCCCCTAGCCCTGTCAATCATGGGCTCTCAATTCCCCTGGGAACCGCTGAATTTCTGTTTTCTCGATCATTCACGCATTAAAAACTCAATCTCCCATGAACCCCACAAACAATGCGTGACGACAAAGGCATGCGCCTCGGCGCTACAAATACACGTCTGTTTTGCGCAGACTTCTCATGTAGCACTGTTGAGTATATTCGAGTTATATCATTATTAACCTGTGGTAAGTTACGGCAGTTTTTACAGCACGGTGTGAGTTTGCTGTTGACGGTACTAGAAACCATGCTAACTTGATGCGGGTAATTAGAGTTTAAGTTAACCCGCAGAGGACATTATCATGGCTTATAACGTTACGCAGATACTGAAAGCGGTGCGTCGCAGTTTGCAACAAACAACGACAAAGTACGCCGTGCAGGCATGCAAAGTCACACAGGTTCGCCTGTTCATCCATACACACAGGACAGTATCACCAGAATCAAGTCCGGCCTTCCTCACAAGACTCGCGTTTCCTTCGTCTGTTCTACCAGTGGAAGGCTGCTTCATATCCTCACAAAGGCGGCGGGGTATTTCTGTCGACTCTACGGCCAAAAATAAAAGCAGCCCCGAGGAGAGAGATAAGTCTGTTTTCAGGTATCAGGGTGGAAGCACAAAACCTTCAGCTACCAAAAAAGTTAAGCAAGGGATACACAACAAAGCAACGTGCAACAAGTGAAAGGACCGTTCACGAAAAGAATCAACCATAAGTAACCAGAGGTCCATGTAATTTCCTTCCTGGTTTGTCCAATATCAAAAGCCTATACTAGTTTATTAAATGAATAAAGCAAGCACTCACTTCACAGCAAACTATTGTTTCACTAATGACTGTTTCTGCACTACTTGTAAAAGAACATAAATTTGTGTAAGGTAACAGTATTTTAGTGTTTAAACGCTAATAAAACGTTGTTTTATTAGTTTCTACTACCTCCATCCTCAATCTTTTACAGTGAAGAACGCTGGCAGAGACTTCACCTACTTGATAGTTGTACTCATCGGGCTTGGAGTTACAGGTGACTACAACATCAAGATTTAATTTGCCATCACAAGCAGGTTTATCATCTCGTTTAAAGTATAACATTTAAATGTTTTGTTGTGTTTTTGTTTCAGGTGGTCTATTTTATGTGGTGTTTCAGGAGCTGTTTTCTTCCTCAAGTCCAAATAAAATCTATGGAAAAGCCTTTGATAAAGTCAAGTCACACCCAGAGGTAAGATTGAGATCCCAGACTGCTGAGGTCAAACAGTGTTCTTGGACCTAAACAATTCAGTAATGTAAAGACATCTTCTCCAATAGCACACACACTATACCAGACCTGGGCATTTTACGGCCCGCGGGCCACATCCGGCCCTTTGGGCGTCCCTGTCCAGCCCGGGTGAGGTCCATCAAATCAGAACATGAATGAAAAAAGTTCACAGGTGAACTTAAGATCCCTGACCTAATGGGTGAACTGGGTGAGAGACAGGTGATGTTGGCCAGCTCAAAATGTCAACTCACGCCAAAAAAAGAAAAGTTGATGCCGAATGCCGCGTTTTCAACAAAACATGGACTGGAAAGTATTTGTTTACAGAAGTCAAAGGTAAAGCGGTGTGTAAGGATTACAATTTGAATCGCCACTATGTGACCAAACATGAGGAGAAATACAAGAACTTGTCGGATGAAGAGCGCGCAAGAGAGTCGGATGCTTTGCTAGTGAAACTGCATAACCAACAAAGACTTTTTACAAAACTTTCCATATGCAGAGATGCAGCTTTCAAGACGAGTTATGTCATATCCGACAAAATCACCAGAAAAAGTAAGCATTTTTCTGGCGGTGAGTTTTTAATTTAGTGTTTGTTGGACTCTGCAGCACTAATATGCCTGGAGAAAAAGGGCGCATATGAGAACGTCCCCTCTCTCGACGCACTGTGATGAGAAGGGTTGAGGACATCGCAGTAAATCTTTGGATCTACCTACATATGTGAACAGATATTCTCAGTGATGAAGTTCAACAAATCCAGATTTCAATGCAGTTGTTCAAGCCAAAGCCAGACTGGATTTCTTTCACTGAACAAGTAAAATGAACTGAAAATGCAAATCTTTACCATACTGCAAAACACCTTTTCAGTGTTATGTGAAGTTGAAAATAAAATGGAACTGTGATGTAATGTTTGTTTTTACTGTTTATTACTTCTATAGGAGTATTTTCCTGTTTGACCTACACCACAATTTCATATATTTATAGAAATTCTTATTCTTCTGATTACCAGTAGCAGCTAATCAACACATATAATTTACTGCTTTTTACAATGGGAGATAATGAATACTGAGCAGAATTAAGTTCAAGTTATCGTTGGTTCGGCCCTCCAACACAGTTCAGGTTTCTCATGTGGCCCCTTGTAAAAATTAATTGCCCACCCCTGCACTATACAGTATATTGTGGAGTGTTGCGCAGAATGCATGATATTATTGTGACAAATATTATGTATGTATCTATTCTGCCAGTTTCTAAAGTGATTTTATGTAAATGTGGACTGTAACTGTACATAACAATTCCAGCTGCAGGTTAACAATACTTTCAGTGAACTGCAATTCCTTAAGTCATCTCCTGCTGTAAAGTGCAATAAAATATTTTTCTTTATTGAAAATGTAGGTGATTGGTGCATTTGGAGAGCCCATCAAGTGCTACGGAGAGACTACCCGTCGAGGAAGGAGGCAACAAGTCAGGTAGGAATTTAGTTACCATTGGGGGGGAAAAACAAATGTCCAAACAAGCTATTTATTATTAGTACTTGATGTAAATAAATGTTTAGTTTTTTTTCACTTTAACTGTCAAATGCTTTTATTCATTCAAACAATCTGCTAGCAACATGATGATACTAAAACAAACAAGTCTGTAATTACATAACAAGTAGAAGTGTCTGCACCACTTCCAGGATATATCTTAGATTTATGGGTAAGTAAACTTCTGTGTGCTGGCAGTACTGTGATATTACAGTATTTTAATCTTGTTTGTGTGTTTTCTCCTTAGTCATTTGGAGTACCAGAAGGATGGACTGAAGCATATGAGACTGAAGTTTTACATTGAAGGTTCTGAGCCAGGCCTCAAAGGAACTGTACATTCAGAGTCAAAAGAGGTTGGTATTTTTCCTGTGCCTTCATGCAGCATGCCAAGAGTCAGTAAAACCAGCACTAATACTGTATATTATTATAAACTGTTACTGGTTAGAAACACTTAAAAATTGGAAAAATTGAAGCCAATGCCAAAACTCAATTTAATCACATGTACATAGGTGTTATTTTGCTGTGGTTTTTTTGTTTGTTTTTATTAATATCTGCCAGTTTAAGAGTGTTTGAGACCAGAAAATATCTAATTAATTGTCTTTTTACAGAGTCCTGAAACTGGGAAATATGTGTTTCGTTACATATTTGTGGATGTAGACACCTACCCAAGAAGGACCATTGTTGTGGAAGATAACCGATAACATGGAAAATGGACTGAGCCACTCAAAGGTTTAACATCACTGACAAAAGCAATGTCAAATGTGAGGAACGAGTCTCTGTGAAGGTCTGTGTTATTGAACAAATAGCAGAGGATGTAAATTTTACTATTAAAAGCTGCCAAATGTCAGAAATAACTTGCTTTTATCTCATTTAAACTTTGTTCCAACAAAGTCCTAGTCAACATTTAGTGAGGAGCTGTGCAAAGCACAGCCTCATTTACAGATATAAATGATCATTCTTCTGTTGTATTGTTTTATAAATCATACATGTGTTATACAAGCAAGTTTGTTTTATATGTGTAAAATATGAATGATAGATAAATAAATTGTAAGAAAAATGTCCCAGGAGCAGACAGATGAGAAAAACTATCAAAATATTTTAGTGTATGTGTGAGAGACACTGTGTCACTAGGACTGAGCTTTCCATTTAGATTAGCACATTAGAAGTACTGTAATTTTAATTAGAACATTGGATAGTTGGTTGTACTATAAAACAGTGTCCACTAGATGGAGGCATATAATCAAAAGACAGAACAACCTGGTGTGGCCCTTGAGATAATTTTTGAAAGTTTATATCTTTATAATCCTTTGTGTATTTTGAGTGGTGAAGCAGACTATGAGACTCGTCATGAGTGAATAAATGACACCCTGGTTATTTGGAGTTATACATGCAGGCTATGTTTTTATACAATATTATACATGTATGATATTATGACACAGTCATGCAGTTTTAAGCACATTCAGCTCTAGATTGTTGTGATCCCACCAGAGGGCCAATTGTTCCACCTCCAGTCCATATTCAGACTCGGCACTTCTTCAAGTGAGGTCAATGGCATTGTCATATTGTGATAGTGTGCCATCTGTATGTAAAGTTCAAGAGATTAACAGAAGGGTCTCCTAAGGTGCATTCAACTCACATTTTATTTATATAGCCCAATATCACAAATTACAGTTGTGCCTCAAGGGGCTTTACAGTTAGTCATTAGGATCTCAAATCGGATGAGGAGAAATTCCCCGGAAACATGTAATGGGAAAAAGGATCCCTTGGGGAGAGCAATGTCATGTGTACAGAACAGAGCAACATAGTAGATTGCAGTATGCACAATCACGATAACAAACGTATATTCCACAATTAACTTTTGGGGGTTAATAAATTGATCCATCTATGGTAAATAGACTTGTACTGGCCTGTAGCATTTTTCTATGCATTGCAGCACACTCAAAATGCTTTCACACTATTTGATGTGATGGTTCTCCAGTGTTGGGGTATGGTTTCCTGTAGCTGATATGTCCTGCAGGCCTCTCCACACTGACCTAGCTCTGCGGTGCAACTTCTCTTTACTACTCTGTGTGGGTGACTTTAACAGGTAGACTTCAGGCACAAGCAGAATAAATGTTTCACAAATTTGAAATTGTTTTAAAAACACTAGTCCAGATTTGCCATGTCAAAATGTAGTGGCTTTTGAGCTGAAAATGGTCCTATATGGTCTAGAAATTCTATTTCTAGAATTAGAATAAGGGTCTCACAAATCTAAAACTGTGTTTTAAGTTGCTTGTTAATTGTGTTGAGATTTGAAAAGTGAGATCATTTCTTTGTCTTTGCTGTTTTCTCTTAAATAAATGATTACCAAATAAATAAATAATTACCAAAACTGAAAGTGACTTTCAAATAGCGCTACAACTTTAAAGAGGATGTCTAAGACAGTTTCACAACAATAAGAGGTATAAGAAAGTATACACCGACCAGGCATAACATTGTGACCACAGGCAGGTGAAGTGAATCACAGTAATGATCTCCTGGCAGCTGTCAGTGTGGTTGGGGGGGGTATATTAGGCAGCAAGTGAACGTTCACTCTTTGAAGTTGATGTGAAAATGGATAAGTGTGCTCTTCCTGACAGTAGAACTGTGAACAGAAGATGCACAGTGAGCTGCTGAGTGCAAACCAACTGCCACATTGACTCCCATGTAAACAGCATTAGGCAGGTGTTCATAATGTTATGGCTGGTCAGTGTATGTGTCTCTTGTGCTGTAAGTTAACTTTTATTTTCGATTCAAAGGCAACTTCACTGTCATCTGGCACGTGAGTAAACGCTCTTCGAGACTCTAGCTGAGGGTGCTGAGATAGGCTCCTCCATACATCAATGAAACATACCCACAGTTTGACGGCACTTAAACGTAAAAACTAACCGATTATCAAAACTACTGCTATATACGGAAGCGGGGGCGCGGGGGGCTGTTTATTGGAAACACAGAAGAAGAACTGTCCCGTGAACACCGCCCACTGAAATCAGGGGCTGTGTTGGACACACGGGGATGTCTGATGTCTGTTATCGCTAGCTTTAACTTTGTAGGACTAGACGCTTCTCTAGTATTAAGTTAACGAGTAGTTTGCTGAGTAACTAGCCTCTGACCGAGAAGATGACTTCATAAAACGGGTCCATTAAGTTTTATTCGCGGTATGGGTAAATAGAGAAGCGGCCTCCTGCTACCTGCTAACCTTGCTAAACTAGCTGTAGCTTGAACTGGTTCCTGGAGCTCTAAACGCCTCGCACCACATCCCCGAACCCTGCCACCGAACTGAAGAGTTGTCGCTATAAAGTAAGTTTAAAATCGTGTTTTATGTTTTTTTTTTTTTCTAAGTTGGGTAACGTAGCTAGGTCAATGGAGGCTGGGGTCTGTAAGTCAACAGCACGCTCTTTTTTTTTTTTTTTTTTTTACAGTAACTGTTTTGTCTCAACCTACTTCTACTAGTTTTTTTCTAAGCTTCTCTATTTATAAGCACGAGTTAGTGTTAACATGTTACCTGTATTATAATTTTATAAACCTAACATTTATTTTGCTTCTTGGGTTAAAACTACTCAAATTTGTTACTGTTTTCAGGGGAAGTTGTTTTTTCGCTGGGGACTATCAAGTTATACCTCAGATATGAAAGCCTTTTCTCAGTGATTGATATTTCACAGAAATGGAGCTGTACTGGTACATGTGAGTATAAACTACTGGAACTTGTACTGTTAAAAAAAAAAAAAAAAAAAAATCTGTTTCAAATGAAAGCACAAATCTGCTCCTCTCCCCTTCAGAGTCGTCATCATATTCATCATTATCAAGATATTCTTCTATGTGTGCTGGTATCGGTCAAGACAGAGGCAGCTGGCAGCATACCTGAGCAACCCGCGCAATGCCCAGATTGTCATAGTTGGAGGAAGGGCCTACCTTCACCAGATGTGTGAGAGACAGAGTGTAAGTACCAATCCTCTTGGTAGCGGTGGGGTTCAAGAGCATTCTACTGAGTTTGAATCCACCTCTGATTCCATTTATCGAATCAAAAACTGCTTAGTCTAAAAAATAAATTAATATTTAACAATGTAGCTTCTTATGATCACAATAACACAATTGGTCGTTTTGCCTGATTTGCAAGGATTAAGAACTGGTCATTAACTGTCAAACCTAAACCACAGACACGGTTGCGTTGAAGGGCCGTATTAAAGGTTTTCACCCCATATTTTATCAGTGCTCTGTTACTTTGCCCTCGTACCAGGGGCTGTGCTGATGCAACAGGAACTGAAAGTAAAAGCAACATGGTGAAAATAATAATTCTACTTTATCATTCAGTGATAACAAATCACTGTCTGTTGAGATCCTCGCATGTGACTTCAGTTGCTCTGAAGATGTTAACTTCATTGAAGTTAAATACCTGGGAATGAAAATGCTTCTCTGAAAAGAGGTGAAACCTCTTCAGAAACTTAAAGCAAGTCAAGTTGTTGACTTTGGCCTGGTGTTGTAGTACTTGAAATCCGTCATTTTGAAGGTATTGGTCTTGTTTGGGAATTGACCGCATTTTTGCTGTCTTGTCTCGATCTCAGAAAGGGGCATGTGCATTGTGTGTTTAACATTGTTAGCAAGGTTTTCCCTACCATAATCAACTCTTCGGTGCAGCGAGGACCTTAAGCCAAATGAGTGTTTTTTAAAATTAAAAAAAGGCAATATAAAAATGAATGTTTAAAAAAAAAAAAAAAATGGAGGTGGCTTGATCCAAACAGAAATATAAGAAGGCAACTTGCTAATCAACGGTGTTTGAACAAATGTTTCATTTATCAGGTTAATCAAACAGACTGACTATTTCTTTGTACTGGTTAATAACGGCAGATAAATAAAACAAATGTGGCCTGTTTTACAGCTGAAAGAATTTGCTAACCCATTTAACATGGATACTAATATACTTAAGTCATGTTAGCACTAGACTAACGTTACAGGAAAGTGGCAGTAATATTCACAGGTTATAAATTTCTGGATCAATAAGTCATAGCAAAACATTGTTAAAATGGTGCCTCTTTCCAGCTATGTTTGTTCACAACAGTAGTGCGAAGTTATCACATTTTTAAATACGATCAGGTTTTTCTTTTCCGATGCCTGTGATCGAGACAGTATCTTCACTCTAGTTGGGACTAAGCGTACAAAGGTTTAAAGGGTTTTGGGTGCTAGTGTGTCTTTAAGTAGGCTGAGAGTTGTGTGGTTCACTAAGTGAGTAAGAGGGGGGGAAAAGTCAAAGAGGGGGGAAAGTCAAACAAGGTCACAGTTACTTTTTTGCAGAGGAGTTTGCTCTTTCAAGAGCACATGTGGTTTTCAGTTAGTCACTCTTTGAATAGAATAACAAGATAGGCTATTTAGTGAATGTGGTTTAATAGGTACATGTTTCTGGTTTGCATCTACTTGTATGCTTACATTTTTCTTTGTTTATTAAAGTCAGACTGGAAAGGCCAGTCACATCTTTGACAGTTCTTCAGTTAGTAACGATGTGGGAATGGATGCTTTTTAAAGCAAGTTTGTGAAATTTGAATCATGCATGTGATATTTTTCATGTGCATATCATCAGTAAGGACAGGAGTAGGCTGATTTACAGACGATGTATTCAGAGAAAAAGGATGCCCTCATGTTTTAATTTACTTGGGCAGCTCTTTCAGACTCGATCAGTGAGATGGCCATCGTAGCTATCTTTAGTTTTGGTTTGTAGTTTCTCAAATGTTGTAGAAACATGATTTTCATATTTGAAATAGGATGCAATGAACAGGCTTGTTTCACCTTCAACTGCTAGTTAAATGTATTTTGTTTTTGGTATCACAGTATGTGTAGTAATGCCTTTCTTCACCACCTGCTTGTATGGAGTCTTTCCTGCAGGCTGTGCTGCAGGTTTAGGCAGTTATTAGTTTAGTTTTTTTTTTTTTTCCTCAGGGCCTTTCTGCTTTACTGCCTCTGTAAAACACCTGAAAGCAATCTTCAAGGTTCAGGTCCTTCTCAAGATATGGTCCCTGAATCATTTTAAAATGGGTTTTTGTGATGGTTCAGCAACTCATTTCTAACTCTTACTCAGTTTGCTCACTAACGCATAGTTGCTGTAAAAGATGCTATATGAACAACTTTTAGAAAAACTGACTCTTAAATGCAAG